TTTTGTATTTTTTGAGACAGGGCCTCACTGTATAGTTGAGACTGACCTGGAATTCATTATGTAACCCAGGCTGGTCTCGAACTCACAGCGATCCTCCTGCCTCAGCCTCCCGAGTGCTGGGATTACAGGCGTGTGCTGAGGCAGGAGACTTGCTGCAAGTTCAAGGCCAGCCTGGACTATGTAGTCATTTCAAAGCCAGCCTAAACTAAAAAGCAAGACCTTGTCTTAAACCCCACCAAATACACACACATTAGTTGTTAATAAAATTAAGGGAGGAAATACTTCTCGTTTACTTTCTCTCACGTTTGTGGCCATCCTCCTGCCTCAGCCTCCCAAGTGCTGGGATTACAGGCACGCGCCACCACACCCAGCTTTCCCCAAATGACTTTTAACAAATAATATCCTTTGAAAAATTACAGAGAGCTGCCAATTTAAGAATCTTGTCAACATGAAATGTCCATTGAAATAACGAAAGCACATATCCGCGTTGAAATGTTGACTGTCCCTGAGCTGGGTCTCCATACACCTCCAACGTGGTTGCTCCTCCTAAAACTCTAGTATCCGTTTCACTCTGTGCTTTCAGTCTGGCATTGCTGTAAGCATCATTTATTAGGTGGTACAAGATCTAAGACAATGGCGGCAACCCTGTGGCCCTCTCCGCGTGCAGACGGGCAGGGCGGCCCCAGCATCACCCCAGCAGCTGAGCACGGTTTGACAGCGCACGTAGGCGCCACGCGAATGCTCGGAAAGGACTAGCTGGAGCTGTGACTCATCAGCGACTCCTCCCAGCGCGTGCGTGGCGGGTCAGTATGCAGGGTGAATTGCAGTGTTGGCGCTTTGTGATAAATAGGTGCATTTGGGGTTGCAATTTGGGAACCGGATCTCTGACAGGTTCGCCATCACTGACCTAAGAATGTCTTACCCGAAGGCGGTTCCTTCCCCAGAGGTAGATCCTGCCCAGCTGTATTTTACTGAGGAGCCCACCCCAATAGTAATCCCTCGGTGTCTTCTCTATTCAGTCATGCCATGTATGTATGTGTGTATGCATGTATGTATGCGTGTATGTATGTGTGTATGTATGTATGTATGCGTGTATGTATGTGTGTATGCATGTATGTATGTGTGTGTGTATGTGTGTATGCATGCATGTATGTGTGTATGTATGTGTCTAGCCTGGGCAAAGCGGCTTTGTTAGGGGAAGCCAGGA